AGAGCAGCAAGAGGTTGCTTGGTCTGAATCTTGGCTACCTCAGTGAGCTGGTTCTTGGTGATCATCACAATACCACCTTTGGCTCCTGTCAGTTGGTGACGATGGACCTGGGGAACAACCGTCTTGTCAGAAAGCCTGAAAGGATGGTCAGAGTCTAATCGCAGGTCTTCCCATTTCGCCTGGGATGCTGGAGTCTTCTTGGCCCAGGGATCCCGGATCTGCAGGAGGTCGACCGCCTTGTCCGTGTGTATGTCCATTGGCTGTGCTGCATGGGAAGGAGCAGATGCAGCACCCTGAGTGAGGGCTCCTCCAGAAGCAAAAGCCGGAGTGAATCGGCCTCTGAACAAATCATAAAGGTACCAAATGGTGGCATCTTGCGCAAACGCTTGAAGGCCGGCAATGGAAGATGAAGACCAAAGTTCATTAGCCCTCAGGATGGCTTCCGCCAGTCGTTGATCATCCATAACAGCTGCAATGCACTGCGTAACAGCCATGCCAGGTTTTGGCATCGTCACCTCGAGCTTGGTGAATAGCTCGTGCAGGAGTGTCCACCCACATAGTCCAAGTTGTGTGTCACAAGGAAGATGGATGAGCTGGAAAGTACCCTCTCCAAATCCAATCAGCCTCTGTAGCTGATCGACCAGGCAGGACAAGTCAGGGGCAAAATCCTGAGGGGCCAGAACCCAGGCAATTGTGAGGTCTTGCTGTCGATGAAGTTCACATGAGATCCAGTGCTGATCATACAGGATCAGAGCCACAGCCCTGGTGTGAAATCTGCAGTCTTCCTTGTAGCCACTAAACGTGCAAATCGCCCTGGTCTGCGAGTTCCACATGATGGGAGCAGTGATGGCAATCTCAGGATGGGCATAGCGTAGCAGTTGAAGAGCCCCATCAGCTACGTCACTTCCTAGCCAGCCAGGAAACCTGTGGAATTCATCAATTCTCCTGTTCTGGAACTCCTTCATGAATCTGTCATATTCATCATAGAGGAGGACCCTGCCAGGAAGCAACAGCGAAGGACCACGGGGCAGCTCCACCACGACAGCGTGATCAATGACCGGTGCAGCGTCATTCTCGTTCATAGCCATGTGGTAGAAGCATCCCAGCCTGATCTGGTGAGCGAAGTGCCAAAGCTCCGGAGGTGCATCGGCAGCAATCCAATCTTCGATGGAACTGGAAAGGACATCTTGAATCAACGTATATTTCCATTCCACCAAGTCCTCAAGATCCTCTTCATAAGAGTGGAGTTGATCATGTTGGTGAAGCTTCTCAAACCATCGGAAAAGCAACGCCCATCCACACATGTTGAACGGCTGAGGGAAGGCATGGACGAAGGTTTGGATTTTGCGGCCAGTGGTGTCCAACCTGCGAGCAAAAATCTGAGTCAGTCGGTGAGCCTTCAAACTGTCTAGGCCGAGGAAAGTGATATGCACTTCATCGCCACACCGGGTCAGTTCACTGCCAAACCAATGGCTACCAGAGAGGATGGCAAACCACGTAGTGGAGTCAGGGTGAACCTGCGGGAAACGTAGACTCATCAAAGTCAGACTCTTGTTCTTGCCACTGTACGATTGCGAATGATCTTGCATGAGCCTCTTGATCCATGAGCAACCATTTCATGGCATAGAGGAGCTCGTCGGAGGCACACCAGCCATTGGTATTGATGGCGAATTCACACCTTTCTGAGAGATTGGCTCCTGATCTCAAATGCCATGTGACATGATCCGATTGAGGATGTCCACCAGCAAAGATTCTCTGAGCTTCTCCACCCGGCGAAGCTGTGGATCTTGATGCACCAGAGAAAACACGTCACCATTCTTGCGCTCATGTGATTGGAGACCATCAAACGTGGTCCCATTGATGCGCTGGATGAGGTAGGATTGTTCTTGCCGAACCACACGCGTTTGAGGAGTGACGAATCCTTTGAGTTCAATGACTTGGAGATCAATGATCGACGTGAGGTTCTCCAAGATAATGCAGTTCTGCGATGACCGCGGGTCAGATAGGACCCACCACTCGTGCTGCGGCAGCCGAACAGAGCGACCTTCAAGGTGGTGGAAACTCCACTGGAAGAATCCAAAACGATGGAGAATTCCGTGGATTTCTTCAAAGTCAGTCCCATCGGCTCTGGACGTGACAAACACGATCTGAGGGTCCACACAACACAGCACTGTGGGGATCGCATTCTCAATCTGTCCAAAGAGGCCATTCTCGGAGGCGGTCTCAAAGAACTTGATCAACGCAAGAAAATCATCTTTCACACTCTCCTGGTCAAACGATGAGTCCGGCACCTGGATCGTCTCAATCTGATCAACTGTAGCAAAAGGGCACGTAGGTGAGACCTCAGGATCATCAGTTATGCTGTTGCTCTCTGCCAGATGGATGGTGGCGACAGTGGTTGCAGCGGCACATAGTTCCCACGACCAGGACAAAAGTGTCAAGTCATTGATGGATTCAATAGCTGACGCTACCACCGGTCCATGTCGAAGGGTGAACTGAGAAGCAGTATGTGTCGCAAGGGGGACACAAGAGGAGAGAAATTGAGCAACAGTCAAGTCTCCATTGCAAGATCCTTCAACATGTTCCGAACCACTGATGGGCGTGAGAACGAACTTCAAAGCACCACCGGCCATCGGGAAAGGTCGAAACGACAGCCTTTCACAGAGAAGGCTAGCTTTGACAATGGATAAAAAGTTCCCTTCAACAACAATGACAGCATTCTGAGTGGTAAGACGACTGTTCCAGACCTTGTGAACAAGATTCTCAATGTTGAGATGTTCCTGATTGATGGCTTGGAGCCCTACAAGCAAAGCAAGAGCGGCTTGCGGGACCGAAATTGCATTGCCAAAACCATGAAAGGCCTCAATGGGATCAACTGGGAGCGAGACTCTCTTGACCCCCCCAAGTAAAGCAGCAATACGAGTGGGCTCAATCAGGGAAAAAGAACCCTCATGGACAACAAGCGAAGCGAAGATGCCCTTTTGGGCAAGATGCATCGAATCTAGTTCATGCTGCCTCCCATACATGGCACAACAGGTGGGCAAGGGTTCCGACCTCGAGGCGACCCTGTGCATCAAAACATGTTCCCTATCTATCACGGTCGAAAGTCGAGCCTTCTTTGCAGGCGGCAGGAACTGGCGAGAACCATAGACCTCCATCATATTCTCCGAGAGGCGCAAACCATCCTGGAATTCCTGAGGCACAGCGAACGAGGAGAGGGGACTATGCCATGGAACCTTGACCTCGGCACAAAGGCTATACTGACGAGAATTCTGTTCATGCTCATGGTCGGCACGAATCCACACCGAAAGCCATCTATCTCTCTTGTTGTCGGAGAGATGGTGATATTGCACGACCTGTTGCCAGACACGTTTAAAACCCCCTAGCTTCAGAATGTGAGAGACCAACCCGAAGTGGTGATGCTGGCAAATCTCGTCGGCACATTCAAAGATCTGAAGGTTTGGTCTCAAGGCCAGGATGTCAATCACAGCCTCCACGAAAGCAAAACCAGGGTCGGAATTAAGCCCCTGTGACTTTCCCCCTTTACTCCAAGAGACACAAGGTGGTGAAGCCGTTCCAACCGAGTTCAAAAGAAAGCTCACCTGATGCATGAACGAAATATCATCCACAGGAGTGCAGACTCCAATATGACTGCTTGGGTTCCATGGATGGGAGGATGGCGTCCTCCCCTGATGATACGGTGCACCAACCTGTCTAGACCATTGATCCATCGTGACTGGATCACTGTCAATGCAAACCTGCTGACCAAGAGGGGGCCATGAGGCATTCTCAAAAAGACACTCACACGCTTGGGACCAACCTCCAAAAGAACCCGAAAACAGGTGAAAAGCATTCACCGGCGATTCCCAGTCCCACTTCGGAGTCGGCGTCAGGCAAACATCCTCACAAAAGACAATGGCATCATCAGTAAAAGATTCAAACTTGCCGAATAGAGTGAGCAGATCACCCGACTCCCAACGCATCGATCGAGAGGACAATTTGGGAATGAACACTTCCCACAACACTTCATTCTTCTCCACAAATCCGATTCCAGGGCAGAAAAGGTAGGGGATAAGCTTCACACCGTCCTCAGCAATGTCCACAATCCTCCCTTGGAGGAGGCACATCCCTGAAAAGCAGACACGGAAGCCTGCCGTCCCGAGAGCACCAACCAGCTCAATCACCCGGGATTGCCAAGGTTCAACCAACTTCGAACGAATCATTGCGACCAAGCGGGGCATCACATCGTCTCTAAACCCAGTCTGAGGCACAAGTAGGCTCGACATCACAAGGACCGAGAAGAAGCCTAAAAGAAAGGCGACTTTGTCGACGTCGCACCTAGGTCTAAGAGAACCTAGCCAGCAACCCTGGGTGTCTCGTGCACCCTGAGCCCTGCGGCCTTGAACCTGGAGGGCTAGGTAGTCTGTTCTGTTCATTCTTGGTGGTCAACCAGGGTGTCCCGGTTTTGATCTACAGCCACATGTGCCCAGAAGAAAGCTTGCCTTCGCGGTGGTGGTCTTTTTGGAAAGACATGCCACCAAGCGAATGAATCTGCCATTTAGGTTTCGGTGCTTATATCCACAGTTTCTACAGGGGGGCTTATCTAGAATCTAGAAGGTGTTTGTGCCACGGGGACCTCTGTTTGCCGAGAGTAAACGATCATCTTGCAATGTCCTGTCACCAATTGGCAGGACAGGAATATCAATCCAAGACCTCCACAGTTGCACCACTCAATCTGCAAGAGCAAGGCTAATTTGCGTCAATCTGCTGGTGCTCACCCGATTAAATAGAAACCGCTGTGTTGCAACCATTTCGCCAGAGGGTTAGGCTCAGGGCCGCCCTCGATCCCTAAGGGCCGCCCTGCGCGGTTCGACATCACTAAACGGATCGAACGATCTGTCGTAGCGTCCGAAATCGCTCCGTTCGTAGCGAATTGGTGCGAATGCAGAATATAATCTCCAAATCAAAATCAAGATCAATGCTGAACTTCAGGTCCAGGCATATCCAGAGGAATGGTAGCTGGATCCATAAGAATGGCCATAGCCCTGGAAGCCCCAAATCAAAAGTAGGGATGCAACTTGAGCTGTAGTAAGGTCCAGGCAGATCCAAAGGAGCCAGAGTGGTGGTAGCTTCGATAGGAGCCAGAATGACCGTAGCCCTGCATGACATAGGAACAAGCAACTTGATGCACATTCAAGGTCATTGCAACCCTTGGTGAAATCAGCTCCAGGCAGATCCAAAGGAGCCAGAATGGTGCCAGCTGCCCTGAGTGTGGACAAAATCCACAAACAGCTCTTTACATTTAATGCCCAAGTTCAAGAGAAAAAGAGTTCAAGTGACAATCCTACCAAGCTCCAGGCCGATCCATACGAGCCGGAATGCCCGTAGCCCTGGCAGGTCCGCAAACTTGTCCAACATGAGAATGCCGATCGGTTGAGCTCCAGACAGATCCAAAAGAGCCAGAATGGTGCCAGCTGCCCTGCACACGGGATCAACACAGGTCCTTCCGATTGGCTCGCACTACGGATCGGTACAGCATCTGCGTGTAAGCCTGTGTACTATTCACCAGCATTTCTTGACGGCACTCCAACCATGTTTCCAAATGCTCTACATGAGGGCCCAAACCTTCAGCCTCGCGTCTTCACTGTGACTCATGATGTGTTGAGGATTATTTGGAGTAAGCCGGTGGCCAAAGCTCAAACACATTCAGAAACATATTCTCAGACTGGTTCAAACCATGTTTCACTAACGCTTGCCAGTCTCAGCACAGAATCTGTCTGGATCTTCATCTTCCCAGCACAGAGGTCCCGGCACCATACGAGCCAGATCCCTGACGTTCAAGCCACGACTGACCGTCATGGATAGTGACCCGATGTGACACGTGTCCTGAGGCGTCCACCGATCCCCAGCCGCTGGAGCCGGAGCCGCCCTGAGGTGAAACAGCCGGTGGGACGTATCCCCGCCCTACCTAATAGCAAAAGGATCCTCATAGCGATGGCCTCCAACCTACTAGCGATGGCAATGAAATATGTGGAGTATACGGTTACGAAGAACGCATCTGAGATCTAGGCAAATCCTCCAGAGCCAGAACTGGAATCCTGAAGCCGATGTGAAGCTGGTGGAATGGACTAGATCGACTAGATCTATATCTGGGATGGAGAGCTCTCTGTTTCCAGTTTCAAAAATAGTCAAGTCTGGAAAGTCTCGGATGGCAAGTCTGGAGCTGCACGTCACGAGAGTTCTTGGACGTCAAGGGTCTCAGATTCAAAGAAATACGCATTCGTCCGGAGAATTTGTGATCCTTCATGATCCTTCCAGTAAAGTACATGATCTTTCTGTGAGAAATGTTGAAATGAGTGTGTATTAAAATGGGGGGACCTCCCAGGCCTTCCGACCCCCTGGAAGGTTCGGGAAATGGACCCAAACCTACTGGGACTCCCTATTAAAATACACCCAAATCTTCAAAGCAAACATCCACAGCTGGCCCTTCGCTGGCCGTTCACAACAGCCTTCGGCGAGCTGAGTTCTGAGAGCCCAGCTTCTCCGCCAATGCCTCAAACGGAGTGAGTGGAGTTTCATGACAGGTCGAAGATCAGATGCCGACGACAGATTCGGATCTCACAAGATTCTATACCATGTACATTCTCCCCAAGCCATTGCCAGAGTGATCCCGGAGTGATGACCAGTAGGGAAGGTAGAAAGGTAGCATCAAACTAGATGCAAAACCCAGCGTTTCACAGCCCCGAGTCTTCAGAACATCTCACCCTTATCACTGCCAAGATGCTGCATTGATCCTGGCACGGCGCTGCGGTGGCGAAAAAGCACCCGGCAGGTTGAAACATCGATTGCTCCGACTACTCAAGGTTCAACGAGAATCACAGACAGCTTCTGCAATCATGGAAAGAATGAAAACTGAACATGACAGCCCCATGTTTTTGGGCACGTGCAACCGATTCTCCCATATTCTCCCGGTAAAACAGACTCCATCCAGCCTGGCAATCGTCTTCTGGGAAAGGCCCATCAGATGCCGGTCGGCAGGCACCACCAGAGCTGCAGATGTCGAGGGCACGACGGTTTGCGCTGGACATGGGGCACGGGAGCCCAGAGGGATGGTGTAGCTGGGCCACAGGGGCGCGACCCCGAGATGAGGACTCTGGAGACCGTGCTTGACGCGTTGCCTTCGCGAAGCAACACGTTGTTGGAGGTGCGTCGAAAGCGGAGGTCTCCCGAAGCAAAATCCATGCGGGACGTCTCTCGAAAGATCGTCCCAAAGCTGCCATTGAAAGTAACTCTTCCATCTACAGCAAGTTGGATCAACTAAAGTTTGATGGAGAGAGAGAGAGAGATATAGAGAGAGAGAGCGAGAGCGAGAGCGAGAGTGAGTGTGGTGTGTGGTGTGGTTACAGTTCCAGTGTTTGATTTAAGGCGCTTTACTCCCAAACAAGCGGCCCAGCGCCAAAAACGCCCGGCACCTCTGGTAGGCCGCCTCCGATGTTTGCCGCGTCAACTTATGAAGACCTCGTCGCGTCCGTTTTGGGGCGCGGGAGACGGTGACCGCCTCGTCGCCCTATCACGATGCCGAGGGGCAGTGGTAGCCCATGATTTGGGAAGGATTCTTCCAGTCTTCTGGACCTGAAGGCGGCCAAGGCAAAGGCAAAAAAAACCATCTGCTTGCCAGTGAGTCGCAGAATCTCGGGACCTTTCATCTTCTGCACATCTCGTCAAGTCTCTTCTGCACATCTGTTTCTGAGGCAGGGTACATTGGTGCATCGTTCCCGCTGCACACGACTGGATCCCAGCCTGAGCCGCGCGCAGACGCTTCAACTTGGTCGTCCAAAGAGACATAGTTTGAAAGGACCGATGATGACCGAAGGAGCTTCTTTTCGTCTTTCAACACCTTTAGACGTTCATTACATCCCAGGGGATACGTTGCAAACATTTGACAGTGGTTGACTGGGATTCTTTACCCATTTTGCCGTGAGTCAATTTACCTGTGCTGGGAGTGTCGCTGAAGAAACCGAGCATCCGCACCGAGTAGAGTGCCTCACAAAAAGAGTGCCCATCCGGTCGATGAGAATGAGGCCGACACATTGAAACAGAGCTTTCCTTCCACTTCCCAGGCACTTCCCATGGGGTTGAACTAAGTTGAACGACAAAGTGGATAGGTTGTATAGTTGAAGGATAGTCAAGTCCACAACCAGGGGGCCCTTCCAAACACCTCGCGCCAAACGCCTGCGGGTGGAGGACATGGGAGGCAGCGGGAGGTGTGAACCTCGAAGCGATTGCAGAAGAAAAAATGGTGGTGAAGGTTCTATTCGGTCACTCAAAGCTGATGAACATTCTACTTGGTAAAGCCAAAGAGTTACAGTCAGTGTCAGACAGAATGAAGGACCAACAGAGGTTGAAGAACCCTATAGGTAACCTGGGTGAATTGGACAGTTGGTACAGGTAACGCCCGTAGCCCGTAGCCAATGACCTGTCCCCATGAACGTCCAGTGCTTCGACCCGGCTTCAAAAGGACCAGCGCTGCCACAGCCGCAAAAACCAGCCTCAGTAGTGGACAAAGAAGTTTACGCAGCTTCGAGTTGTTGGGCATTTCGAGAAGATGATGCAACTACAATCAACGATATATTCTTGCAGAAATGCACATCTCATGAAACATCCTCGTATGATCTCACATGCTCTTATTGTTCACTGCCCAGCTCCTTCTTTCGGCATTCCTTTCATACTTCTCTGTCTCCCTTTCACTTGAACCCCCCAAACAAAAGCTTGGGCACCTGCAGATTCCGGGCGTTGTGCTAAATTGTGTATGTGGATATAGCTGAGGCTGAACGGAAAAAAAAAAAAAAAAAAACCGTCCCTTTCAGCGGAGGTTTCGTCGCCAGGCCGATTGCGGGTCCAGTTTTGGCGGACCGAACTCGGACTGTCCGCATGATCGGGTTGATCATGTGCAACCGCTGTTGGCGCCGTCAGAACCCGGACGTACGTACCCGTGGCTGTATAGAGTTGTGATGATGATAGATATGCACCTGGTACAAAGTTCACATAGCAATGTCTAAAATGATTGCAAAGAAACACTGGAAACAACACTGGTGAAACAACCATCACAAGCTATCACCAGCCATCACCACCCCCAGGATTCCGCCGGATTCCCGGCTGCATACCAAGGGGCACCGCAGAGACACCACGCACGAGCCACTTGTTGGATTTGCCTGCACGGGACGAGCCGTCGCCCCAAACGGCAACGAGGTGGTTTGCCCAAACATCGGTGTGCCACATCGGGGTGAGGTATGGACGCTCCAGATCAAACATCACTTCCGATCGAACACTTGCTCCATTTGCCTGGCAAACAATGACACCTTCAAGCCATGACATGGGAGTATTTGGTCCTCGGCTCACCAGGACCACGAAAAACCCATACCAATTGCCCCGTTGGCCAATCACTGTTCGGGCTGGCGGCTTTTCTCACACTCGCAGCTTCTCGGACCGTCTTCGCCTCATAGATCGCCTCATGGTCTTCGCTTAATGGTCTTCGCCTGTGAGACCAGCAGAACCACTTTCGGCTTCGTGTCCATCTCACCCTTCAGCACCCCCCGCGGGCGCTTCGGTGGAAGACGATCGCCAGGTCTCCGATGGTCCATTCCTTGGAATCCATCGTAGCGTTCTCCAAGGCGCTTGGAGGTCGGATCGAACGCCACATCTTGGAGGGAGCTTCGGAGAGTTCGCCTTCAGAGCGTTGGATCGAGGCCCAAAAAAGAAGTGATAATGCTTTCTTTTGGAGAGTTCGACTGGTCTTAGTGCGACCGTTCTTTTCCTCCAACTCCACCACAAAACAGTTGCTACATTCCAAAGCAGCCGTTTCCGTCTCGTCCTCAAGCACCTTCGTCCTCGCCTCGCTTCAGCCCTTCGGGAAGTGCCACAGCAACGTTCGGACCTGGCGGTGAGGACCCCTTGAGGAACAGGTCGCTTTCGATAGGCCTTTGTGAACAGGTCATTTGAGGATGTTTGGAGGGGTCCCTCTAGTCTGAGGGGGCCCACATCTATATATTGCAGCAAAGGTCAAGGCACAAGGATGCTCAAGGCCTCTTCCCTTGTGAGCTCTGAGGAGTTCGTCTCTAAGGCAAAACGGATCAACTTCTGGTGGTTGTATCGCACGTCCTGCAAGCATTATCACGCCCAGCCGAGAGGCAAGTGAACATATGCTCTCAGGTTGCCAGTGAAGCTAATCGGAATCCCACTTTCGCCAGAACCAGTTTGTTCACGGAAGTGCACATGACCTCCGTCCTCTGGTCGGAAGGTCCATTGCTCTGGATCCATGCAGTTTGCGGCAAAGGGCAACTGATAGTTCGCCTTGCAGAAAAAAATACATCTGAAGCACTGGAGATCGAGCTGAAGCATCGATCTGAAGCATCGCAGTTGTTGAAACGACTGGGACAAGGCACGATCTCCGAATAGAGCAGGGCCAGTTCCAAATCGTTCTTGAGCAAAGCAAGCTGGGAGCACATGATAAAGCTGCCTCGGCCGAACCCTAGTCAACTTTGGACATCATTGTTGGCCTCAACACAAGAACAACAACCAAAGACTACGTGGTGGTGGGTGGCGG